GGGGGGGGGGGGGGGGGGGGGAAGGATTCGAGAGTCAGGACGGAGTCAGTCTGCCTCCGCGGTTTCCTGCCCGGAGTGGGAGCGGCCGTACAGAGGTCCAGTACTCGTAATGCCCATTCTGAACTGAACTAAATATTTTCAACACAGATTACTATTTTTATTCTTTCATTTAAGGTTTACGCACTCTATCGACATAGTCAGTGGCTTTGACTTCGTGAAGTCTAACACCACATTCCCCTCGCACCTGTTCATATTTTTAATGTCTTCCAACATTCGTTTCTCCTCGTGCACCGTATTTTAAAAGTGTCTTTAGAATGTAACTGCCTGTAAACTGAGCCCGTTCTTTGTACTCTGCAGTGTCCAATTAGTCTTCTTATTAACCACGCATTTCAGCTTTACAAGCCACCTTCAATGCACATGTCAACGTTGACTCCAAGAGCAGAATCCTTTTGGAGAGGCTTAAAAACACGTCACCTAGTCAATACATCTCCGTCCTCTGCTTAACGCAAAAGTTCATTAGTGTGTCCACAAGATTCCGCCACTGGACGTCCCTGACGAATTCGTGCTCACACCCCACCTGATTACACTCCAATTTAATATATTTATCCACCACCACCACCTACATCAAAATTGTTTACACTTCTCATCCACCCCTACCTCACCCTCTCTGACTCTACCGCCTTGTAAAGGTCATTTTTATGTAATTGTCTCCATTCCCCTGTTATTTTATCTCTTATGTTCAAATATTCTCAGGACATCTCTCCTATGGACTAAGAACCACGTAGAGAGGTCATTATAAATCAGTTTTAATTATTATTATTGTTATAATGTGTGAATTTATAGTCCTCGAAGGACCTTGGCCTTCTCAAACATAGGAGATTACTTGGTCTATTTAAGACATTTGTTACGTCTCCTTGGACGAGTGGTCAGCACTTCGCAAGGCCTCTACCTGTACAGGATCGACGCAACTTAGAAAGACGCGGATAACATCCATGCGTTTTGTGGGATTCCAACGTACGGTCCTAGTGTCTAGAAACTTCACTGCTTGCTACTTTCATATTTTGGAACGTTCGTAACAAAATGAAAACGCATTACGATTCTGGAGGATAGGCTTTATTTTAACAAATGCTATACTTGAACATCCAAGCAGAAGGGAAGAGGCAAAGCTCGGGTCCAGACGGATGGAGCAAGTTAAGTCAATGCTCGTGTATCTTTACCATCTGCGTCTGATGAGACGAGGAAAGAGGCCAAGTGATCCAAGGGACGTGGCACACAGGTGCCCACTTAAACGTACTTGAGCAAATCTTAAGGAGTGATAATAGACACAAAACGAAGTAAACCTATGAAATCGATGTCAAGATACATCCACCTTTGCATTCTTTAGCGTCTGTAAATCGATAAAGGAAGTCTGCATTTCCGCTGTACAAAATGCGTATAACACTCAAGTGTCAGATTAAGACCCCTTTTTATTTTGTCTGAATTAGTAAGTACATGTTAGTATCTCGTCATCAGAAGACAGGCGGGCAAAATTATCTTAGGGTAGCTAATAAGACCTTTGAAAGGGTTACAAAGTTCAAATATTTGGGAACAACAATAACAAATAGAAATGATATTCATGAGGAAGTCAGGAGGAGACTAAATTCCGGAAATGCTTGTTACTTCTCAGTCCAAAATATTTTGTATTCCCGTCTGATTTCTAAGAATCTGAAAATTAAAGTATACAAAACAATAATCTTGCCTGTTGTTTTGTATGGGTGCGAAACATGGTCTCTCACTCAGAACACAGATTGCAGGTGTTA